TATGACCCGTTACAAATTCAAAAATTGACATTGTGAAGGCGTTTGTGACGACCTTTAAGACGTCATACGGAAGTTTTGATTTTGTGAAGGCTTTTTGTGATGACAAATAAGGCGACAAATAAGTAACTATTACGGCTTTCATAATGGAACACACACCGTCGTCCTTGGGACGAATTTTGTTACGGCTCCATCCGTCACAAAGTAGGCATTTCACGATGGTAACTTTTTGAGCCTTTTTCCGTCGCAAATTCGCCACTGTCGCCACAAACAGTAGTGACTGTAAAATCTTTCACAAACGTCCTTCACAAATGCGCGATTTTTTTGTAGTGTAGAGTTGTTCTATTATGAATTTAAGGTTAATAATGGAGATCAAACATGTTAATTTAAATTTGAGAAAGTCGCACAAATGTTGTTATACCACAAGGTCCTGTTAGAGTATACTTTTGATAAAGTAGTCTTGTTTTGTAAGATATTGAAACTTTAATCCACTTTTCTCATGATTGTTTATTTAAACTTTAAATTTCATGTTTTACATACCCTAATACGTAAATTGTAGTGGTTTGATTGTTGAATTGGATTAATTATGTGTAACATAATTATAAATTCAGTCAAAATAATCGCAGTGAAAATAGTTATGTCCCTTAGGTCTTTTGTATTAAACAATGTGTTATAATGGGACTTGATAAGGGTTGACCATGTGCCACGTAGGCACCACTTAAGCCTTTAAACGATTAGTGGATGTGAGTTAAAAAGGTGTGTTATGGGTGAGTGAGTGGGTGATTTTTATTGGGTTACAATAAAAAATTTAAAAATATTTGATTGGCTACATCCATTGGTCACCCTATGATAAAGAAAAATGAGAGAAAATCTTTCTTTCTATATATATATATATATATATATATATATATATATATATATATATATATATATAGACACACACACAGAGAGAGAGAGAGAGAGTTCCACAAACCAAACATAACGTTAAGGTTAGCGGTGCGAAAAGGGGTCATTGAAATGCGCGTCAGAAACGAACCGCACAGTTCGGAGCGAGTTAGGATCGGGTCCAAAATTTTATTTTTAAAAACAAGCTAGGTCGGGGCAGGTCTTTAAGCAAAACAAGTCGAGTCGGTTCCTATTATTTAGAATTAAGAAGACCACGACTAGCTTGTTGCTTATAGTTTCATAAAATTATAAATATACAACGTTTTAAATAAAGGAAAAAAATTACATGAGTACTTCAAGAAATTTTTTATTTTACGATAATACACCGAAATTAAATAATTGACACCAGTGCTCCCAGAAGTTATTCAATTTTACACCAACACTCCAAGCTGGCAACTAAGCTAAATAAGTGGCATTTTAAATGCTGACTGAATAATTATTAAGTATGAGTTAGAAATTAATTACAAAAAGAAAGAAAATACCTTGAATCCATAATAATTACCCACCTCCATGTTAATTTGAAATAAAAATATGTTAAAACTAAAAAATACTGTTTATATAGTAATCGGATAAATTATGAATAGTGTTTCACATAAAAATAGAGAATTTTAAAGTTGATATAGTCAAAAATTTATATTTTAAAGATCTTTCCAACGAATATAAATTTGATTACGAAATATGTACTTTAAAATGCTTTATTTTGTCTGAAACATTATTTTCTTTTATATTTAATCACTTTGTAGTTATCCACACATGCTTAATAATTTATAGTCATTATTTTAAATGACATGTACTCTGCTTAGTTGGCAGCTCGGAGTATTGATATAAAATTAAATAATTTTTGGGAGCAGCGATGTAAATTGTTCAATTTTGGAGTATTAGCGTAAATGCACAAATTCCTTGGAGTATTCGTGTAAATTTTTACTTAAATAAATTAAAGTATACCTAATTTGCATTTTAGTCTTTTAATCAAATTGTAGTAATAAATAAATTCTATATGTATATTTAATATTCTATTAATAAATTATATATATAACATAATTAGTAAAATTTTAGTCATCAATCACATTTTTTCGTATGCGTTTTACAACTTCAATTGGTGAAAGTCCTCTATTGGTTGAATATTATAATTTATTTTTATTTCATTTATAAAAATCATGGATTAGTTTCAAAAAAATGTATTATTCTATTGACTATTGTCATATACGTTGTTTATTAGTTTGTGATGTACTTTAAATTCTTAATTTAATAGAAAAAAAATTCACGGACTTGCGGACCCACAAAACCGAACCGTTTGAAACAAGCCGGGTTAGGTTGGGCTCCAATTATTTTTTTCAATAGCCCAGTCCGTTTATTCTAAAAACAAGTCGATGCCGGGTGCTATGAAAATCGGCCCGATCCGGCCCGTGCCCACCCCTAGTTAAGGCATGTGCATTCTCCATCCAAATTAAGTTAATTATCTATTTACTATTCACATGGTTAAATTTTATTCACTTTTTTTCTATTTCCAATACTCATTAGATTAAATAATATAATCTTGTTTCATAGACCCTTTCACTACTATAGAAAAGACATTTTGAATTGGTTATTTTTTACCTTTTTAAATCGATTGTGAATCGATGCAAAAGTCGGTGATGCAAAAGCTGAGGTAACTTTTTCAGTTGTTAAATCGATTCAAAAGCCCCTTCCCAATATTGGCGCCACCTCTGGGAAGGGGCATTTGCATCGGTTATTTGCTAATAACCGATTCAAAAGCTTCTTTCCAGAATTGGCGCCAATTCTGGGAAGGGGCATTTGCATCGGTTATTAGCTAATAACCGATTCAAATGCTCCTTTCCCATTTCAAGGAAGAGCATTTAAATCGGTTATTAGCTAATAACCGATTCAAATTATCTTCCCCGGAAATGGGAAAGAAGCATTTAAATCAGTTATTAGATAATAACCGATTTAAATAATAATTTTTTTACAGATTGGTATGTTTGCTCACAATCCACTACATTTTCAATTTTGCATAGAATTCATAGAATTTTGTGCAAAATTTACAGAATCAACAACAATTCAACACATCAACACAACAACTACAAACACAACACAAATATATTCACAAAACCAAATTAAACCAAACACAAACATTTGCATCACTTGTTCATCTTAATTTGATGTACTTCGTTGTTAAAATATAAATTTTTTTAATTCCGCTTCAAATTTCAATTAAATTGTATTAAAAATAATTTAAGTCAAACATCGTAAATCAAAATAGACGATTTACATTTGGACGAGGAAGTACAATATAATAAGTTTCAGTAAATCTTTTGATCTAGTTTTTGATAAACTAATATAAGCATGTCACTACGAGTTTTATAAATCTTTTGATCTAGTTTTTAAATATATAGTTTTTTTAATTCTAAACCATTTTTTCATATAAAATAATTTGAAAATAAGTTTAGTCAAATATCATAAACCGAAACAGAAGATTTAAATTTGGGCGAAGAGAGTATTAAAAAAAGTTTTGGAACAATTTAATACTCTCTCCATCCGAAAAAGAATTACACTCTTCTCTTTTCAAAATCATTATAATTTTTTTTCTTTGCTCCTTTTGATTGACTATTTTATAATATAAAATATTCTTGATACTTCTAGTTTTTAAAAACTTTTATGGTATTTTTTAAACGTGTATTTTTATTTTTAATTTTAATGCCAATTTTCAAATAAAACAAATTTAAAAATTAAAATTTTGCTACATTTTACATAAAGTATAAAACATTTTAGAATAGAGGGACTAATGTTTTGGTAACATAGGGGCAAGGTGGATGGGGGCAAGGATTGAGGCAAGTGAACAAGGTTCATGAGCAGGTTGCAAGTGACAAGGGACAATGGGGAAAGGGGATTGGGAGTGAGTGGGGGTGGCAGGGTGGAGTTGGGCGAGCGTCGTGTATGTGGGGTCGAGATAGGAAGGCATTTTGGGTTATTATTTAAGTGTATTGGGGAACATAATGGGGACCATGCTGGATGTGTTTTTGGACACTTATTTTTGGCATTGTAAAAGAAGAGGAATTGTAAAAGAAGAGGAAAAGCAAATTATGGCTTGGTTTTCTTTGGGTGAGGTGGGAGAGGGGTATGACTGATTTTATTTTTAATTCAATTTATTTGAGTGTAGGTGTAAAATTAAAAAATAAAATTTATATACTCCCTCCGTCCTATAATGATCTTCCCAGAGCACTGTTCCAACTTCACGGGAATTTATATTTATTTGTGTTTTTTCATGGCATATATGATAAAATAAAATATTCTTGTCACCACTAGTTTTGTTGAACTTTTGAAGTAGTTTTTAAATATGTTTGTTTTATTTTTTATTTCTATACCAATATTTAAATAAAATAGATTAAAAAAACTTGGAATTTTTCTTCGTTTTGCAAACCAAGAAGATCATTATAGGACGGAGGGAGTATTTAAAAACTACATCAAAAGTGCTACAAAACAAGAGGTGAACACTATATTATTTTATCAAATAACTAACGAAAATAAGTAAAAAAAATGATTTATGTTTGACCGTGTGAAAAATAACTGAGAAAATAATTTTAAGACGGAGAAAGTAATATAATTTCTCTCTTTTCTCACTAGAAACTCAAAATAGTTTCTCACTATTACACTCATCTTGGTTGAAATATTAACCAAATGTAGCTAACCATTAAGTCTCAACTGCAAGGACATTTTTTGTTTTTTGTTGGCATTGTGTACTTTCACACCACCAACTATTTGAACCAAAGGGGTTCGAAATTAGATGGTCCTCATAATATTGTACAAATGTGTGGGATTAAAGAAATAAGATCAAAAAACCATATAGGAACGACTCAATATGATCAAACAACCTGCATATGACTTAGCCAGAGTTGCGTTCAACTTATTTTTTCTACTTATTACTTATTCTTATTATAATCAGAGACCAGACCATATCAGATCAGCTTTAATTATAATTGCAATCAGATCAGACCAGATTAGATCTTCAAAAAATCAAATCAGGCGAACGGAACACAACCTTACTAGTTAACACTTACTATACAATCACATCATCCAGTATTGCCGCCTCTTTGTTTTGCAAGTTAAAATGTATTTTCAGGCTACAAAAGATCATATTCATTTCTCATAAGAATTATATGAAATACATCACACATGCAAATAAAGTTATTAGCTTCCCTAGATATGTATGCAACCTTCATTTATACTTTGTGTGGTTTGCAAATCACTCGTGTTTATTCCTCAGAAGCCAAACTGCAAAAATGGTTAATTAACTTCGATTAACATATAAGTGGGTGGTTTCACTTTCGTTTAAAAATATATACTTCGTATCGGCTATCTTATTTTGATAGTTCCTACCCCTAATACATAGTGAAACTTACATAGCAAAACTTACCATAAACAAAGAGGGCTAAAATCTCATTTACTATCCTCACATACGCACTAGTCCACCCAATATCAATTGTAAACCTGCATACATACATGTACCAAAATCAATGTGCTTTTCTTTTGTTTTGGAGGAAAAAAACACAATATTTAGAAAAACAGACATCAAATTGGCGTTATAAACTTGATGACATCACAAAATCAAACGATCACCCCTCATGTGGTCCGTTTATAGTTTTAACTTTGACTTTCCTAGTCAAACATATGAAACTTTGACCCCTAATAATCGATCTGTCACATAAATATTGCTGCATTTTCAATAAGGAAGCACCACCCGAGTAACTTTTAATACAATTTATTTAAATATTGCTACATAGTTCAAAAATAAATCAATAAATCATTTACATTTTAAAACTACATGAAAAACTCTACTCACTTTGTCCCAGAAATATCGTCTCACTATTCTGGCACCTTGATACCTTCCATTTGTCCCTTAAAACCTCTCTTTTGACTTTTAATGGATTTAAAGAAGAAATATTTTTGTGCTACCTTTCCAAAAATTCTCTTGATGTGATGGGTAAAAATAGATTATGATGATAGATTATTAGTAAATAGATATGAAGTGATAGGTAGGGTAAAGATTTAGTTGCGGTAAATGTGGTGTTATAATAAAAAGTAGAAAGGTATTTTAGGACATATGAAAATAGGAAGAAAGGTTTTAAGGGAAGGAGGGAGTATTTATTTGTGTACTTTCATTGATTATTTAATAAAATAAAACATTCTTATCGCATCTTGTTTTATGAAACTTTTGATGTAGTTTTGAAATATACTACCTCAGTCCCGGTGTAATTGTCGACTTTTTTGGGTCAAACTAAACAAACTTTGAGATTCAATTACTCTTAATTTATATTTCATATTATTACAATAAAATACAAATTTAAAAGTTCTCAACAAGATAAATCTACCAAAATTATTTTTATGCTAATATACAATACAATTTGTGTTCAATTGGAGGTCAAAGTTCATTCAATTTGACTCGAAAAAGTCAAACACGACATATACATTGGGACCGAGGGAGTATTATTTATACTTTAAATTTCTATACCTACTTGTAAACAAATTCATTTCAAAAGAGATGTGATTTGGCACATACGATAATTTAGGGAGGGGAGTAATTAATAATGAGAATGTGCACCTACTTTTGCATAGAGTGGTTGGTATTCCATCCGACAAACAGCATTGCAGAATACATAGATCCTGTAGCAAAAACAAGGTGAAAGAACCCATATCCATATGGAACATCATCTTCATGCTTCTCGTCCTCCCTTTTCAGCTGTAATTAAAAAAAAATTGAATAAATGCGGACAAATTGTATGTGATGAATTATATGTTCTCGTTTATTTGATTTTTAATATATCTAAAAAGTTATAATAATAATAATAAGTTATTTAAAAACAAAATGAGTATTATTTTCTAAAATGAAATGGAGATCGAAGAGCGTGAAAGAGACGGACCACTGCAAAACATTTAGAATCGATGCCGGTTGAAAAGGTCGCAACCACTATTGTAAGCAAACCCACAACAAAGCTCTGCACGGACACACATCTTTAAGAAATCATTAGTTTTTAGTTTTTGATATGGTCTTTCTCTGTTTAATGTCTTTATTCCTATGCAAATGCCAAATGGTGTAGGTTTAGCTTAGAAAACCATGAAGCTAGATACTATTGGTGGATAACATTTCTAAAATGATAAAGCAATTTGCTAAAGATAATGTCAAATGGAGTTATATAGGGTGAAACATTACTATGACGGTGAGCACATCTATTTTAGAAGTATGATCAGATCCTCCCTTTCGCATGCAATTTTCTTCAGGTTCACTGCATGCAAGTAGTTAGACATTATTTATATATCACAATAATTAATTATGACACAATATGCTAAAGAATATAAAAACTTTTCCTAAACTCTTAGGCTGAGTTGGTTCTTTGACATGGTATTACAACCTTACTGACCAAAATGTCACCATTTCAACTAGCCCGTTTTTAAAAAATTTAAGATTTCACATGCAGCTCGAAAAGACCATGGGAGCATGTTAGAGAATATAAAAAGTAAAAACCTTTTTCTTGGACCTACAACCACAAGTTTGAGTTTTTGGTTGAGCTGATTTCTTGACACAATTTTCATACATACATACATACATACATCATCATACTTACATGATACATACATAAACTCAGTACTGCCTATAAGTCTAATATCTTACCTTTTGAGAGCACACCAACAGAGGAATATAACATAAAGTCCCATTAAACTAGAAGACAAAGAACCAGCATTCACCTGTTGCATGGACATGGTTTGGCATCATTAATTGTGTTATCCCAGTGAAATCATTGAATTGACCTCGTGTTAATGACTAATAGAGGGGGCAATATAATAATCCATGGCTCATGTAGTTTCAAAGAAGTGATACCATTGGCTTCTATGCCCAGGCGCGTATAAAAATAAGACTTAATAAGCCCACTCTATTAATTGAAGGAAGAAATAGCTAACTAGGATTAAATCATCGCGATCTGGATCGTGCAATCGCACAATCGCAGAAAATCGTCGATCTAAAAAAGGAAAGAATCGGAAATTTGATAAGCCCTATTTTCTTGCTTCAATTTTGTCGATTTAGTCGCTTCGACTATTTCGCTACTCCCAATTTGAATCGCGATGATTTCGCGACTTCCAATTCGAGTATTTTGTAGCTTCTAGCCTTCTCCCTTCTAACGCAACAAAGCTTGTTGCCCTGCGCGTCTCCTCCAAGTCTCAATTTTTGCCCAGGATATATCTCTGATTTTTAATTATATATATAAGGAGTGTGGGTTATACTCTAAAAGGGTAATTTAGATTATAAACGGGTAAGTCTGATATCCAACTTGAACTTGTGTTATGTTTTATTAAAATTTTATATATATATATATATATATATATATATATATATATATATATATATATATATATAGAGTAGGATCTTACGATCCGAGTCACGATCTTACGATGTTACGATCTTCATTAGACCCATCGATCCTACGTAGAATCTAGAGTTTGACTACCTTGCACACGAGCAAGGGGTGTCACAATTTCTATAGCATCATCAACATATTCTTGCATCGTGGATGGTCTTTTTTGAAAACTATGTTCAACACTTTGAACAACATGAGAAAGAAGAACAAATTAAATTTAACTACCCACAATTGAGCATCAGTCATAGACCACACTTCATAAACAGGATTTGGCTTAGTGACGATATGTCCATATTTTTTAGGAGCTTTTTTGTCGAGGGTCATTGGTGGTGGTGCACTCATGGTCCCAAAAACATAGGTAAGGAGAATTGAGGTGAAATTGTAGCTTAAACCAGTGATGACCTCCAAGAAGGATAAACTTTCTCATCCAATTTTATTAGAACAAGGGAATGAAGATTGCATAGAAGGGGTTTGAGACCTAAGGAAGAGCCTCAAATGGATCGGTGGTGGTGAGAAGACATGCAATAATAATGTCCTAACGGGTTTAATAATACACAAAATAATAGAAGTTGATTAATACATGAAAACTACCATAATTAGAAATAAGAATAATAATAATAATAATAATAATAATAATATTGTCTAACAAAGGGCGGCCTATCCAATGGGCACCAAAAGCCGGGTGAATTAACTAACTGATCAGATGTGATGAGCAAAAGAGAAATATTCATGGAGATGAAAACCAAAGACAAGTAAAGAAAAAACTCACAGTAAGAAAATGGGAAACAACGACCATAGTGATGTAGAGCCCTAAAGTTCCACTGATGATGGAAATGTTAAGCGTGCAAGACATGTGTGGCGCGTACCATCCATACAAAAAGGCGATAGCCAGAACGCAAAGAAAGTGTGTAAAAGTTGCAAGTACCCTTCTTTGCAAGCTGCTGATTCTTGAGTTTTCGCAGTAACACTTTTTGTTTACCCAATTGATGAAGGTGATCATGCTAATAAGCTGGATTAGTAGAAACACCCTGTAAAATATTTATAAGAAATATCAAATTTGTATACACCGATTATTTTTCCATTGTACACAACAGTTTTGTCTAATCTGTGGAATTGAAGATCAGCTTTTTGAATTTGCACCATCGTAGTAGTAAAACTAACTGATATTTTTTAAAATACCGTACATACCCAGCTCCATATAATGCAATCTCTCCTGTTCATCACATAGATAAAACATAAGTATGAATTTAAGAATGTTTTTTTCAAGGCAAAAGTAAGAGCATAAAAATGTAATAGTGCATCAAGTTTTCCCTAATAAATTGAGGTTTTCCCTCATATTGTTACTTGTAATACTATACTTGTTCATCACATAGATAAAACATAAGTATGAATTTAAGAATGTTTTTTTCAAGGCAAAAGTAAGAGCATAAAAATGTAATAGTGCATCGAGTTTTCCCTAATAAATTGAGGTTTTCCCTCATATTGTTACTTGTAATACTATACTACCATGGGTTCATAATACTCTAACTGTGGTGTAATTTAGTGAGCAATTTCTGTGTAGATCAGTGTGATTAATGAACAAGTAATGTGTTTCTAGTCGTTGTAATTAATTAATATTTGAAAGTGTACTATTCTACAAAAAAAGGTTCTACTGCTAGAGAGTATATTTGGATCGTGCATATATGGGCCGTCTATTTATTGTTTTTTGGGTCATGTATTTATTTAACCTCACCCTAACATAGATAGGAATCATGTACTTGTGTATATACCAAGTTATGTTAGTAACCTATCGGTTTTGGTTGACAAATATTCTCGATGGTATCAGAGCCAACTTCCTCGCCTTCCTTTTAACCCTCGTCCCGACCTCCACTTATCCTCTTCACACATGTCGTCAACGACGTACACGCTTTGATGAATCAGCCGATGTCAACATCCGTGAGAGGCAACGTCTTCTGCATTTGCTCAAAGTACAAGTAGCGCACATCGAAGCCATAGTTTTAATGCCTTGGAAGGGCGTATTCGTGCAGGGTTTCTGATAGACCTGGCAAAACTGACCCGGACCCGATAACCCGAACCGAATAACCCGGAACCGAACCCGATTTGACCCGAAAAATGAAGAACCGAAATAGAACCGAACACCCAAAATGATCCGAACCGAACCGAACCCGAACCGAATGTATTCAGATCCGATTCAGACCCGAATCCGATTAAACCCGAACCGATTAAACCCGAACCGATTAAACCCGAACCGATTAAACCCGAACCCGATTAAACCCGAACCCGGTTAAACCCGAACCCGGATAAACCCGGAACCGATTAGACCCGAAATTGATCAAATTCATTAATATTTCATTTATCAAATGAATTTGGAAAAAAAGAATTACCTATATATTTTTACATATGTTGATATGTTTCTAAAAAAACATATTTAAATTATGAGTGCAAACCATGTAACTACTTTCATGTACAAATCTTTTATTTTGTACTCCGTATTTTATAACCTAAGTTAAAATATATTTGTATTTTTATAGAAAGTATATAAAAATTATAGTTACATTGTAATACATATTTTATGTAAAGAATTATGTTACCAAAGTTGATTTTCTTTTTTTAATATGCCAATTAACACACTATAAAAAATACTTGAGCATAAAAATGAAGAAAGGTGTCACAATCATGTGGTAAAAACTTATGATTATGTAAATGAATAAAACCAGCTAACTGACATTACCTAGTATAAGCTAAATAAAAGATTTCTTCTCCAAAAATTATGAATGAGTAAAAAAATATTGAACCATCTTAAAGAGCTTTTTTAAAACACAAATCTTGATTTTCGTGGATACACTATCCAACAAACAAAATACAGCATTCTAGTGACAATTTAGAACCAAATTGTTATCCAAATATTATTCATTTATTAGTATGTGTTTACATTATATTTGAACTAATATAAATTTAAACCGATATAAACTCAAATCAATACAAATCCGAACTGATACAAACCCAAATCGATACAAACCCGAACCGATACAGACCCGAACCGATATAAACCCGAATCGAAACCGAACCGAAACCAAAAACCAGTCAAACCGAAATAAACCCAGAACCGAACTGACCCGACCCGAACCGACCCGAACCGATTATAACATATATCCGAAAGAGACCCGAACCAAAAAGACCCGACCCGGACCCGAACCGATTGACCCGATTGCCAGGTCTAGTTTCTGATAACGACAGGTCCCCCCAAACCCTAAAATGAAAAGGAACTTGCTGCTTGGAAGGCTATAATTCAATTATTTGTGGTTGGACCTTCAACAGTGTTACTTCTGAAAATGTTGCTCAGGAGTTAGGGCAGATTTACGAACACGATATGGTGGTTCAGATAGACCATGTGTCCATGGTAGAAAGCATAGTCGTAGTCCCTCCCAATGTTTGAAAAATCATGGCCAAACCTGCCTCGAGGCGCCTTACGTCTTTTTTTCTTAAAAAAAAAAGCTGCCCTGTTGCAATCTCGCAATACGCAATTTTAGTTCTTCAAAAATGGCGCATATTTGAAGCGTAAAGGCGTACACCTCAGTGCTTACACCTTATGGCATTTGGAATCGTATGCAATTCTCTCCCCCAAAAAAATTAGATTAGGGTAAAATTAGTATTTTAAATGCATAATAAAAGCTTAATTACCTTCCGATTCATCTATTTGCGTCTTCGAGTCTTCAAATGAGGAACCCTAAGTGTCCGATCTTCCATAGCCGCCGCGGCTGCTGCCTGCCCGATAGCCTCTTCCACCACCAACCCCATGTAACTGATGTAAGTTACTCAGTTTCCTTTAATTTTATTTGTTGACCACATCAGCGAACCTTATTACTCAGTTATTTTTAGTTTGGACAAGATAGTCTGAAGCATAGAAGCATAGGTATACCCATGATAGCACCAATGTGGTGGCACCCTAGCATTTCCTTTTAGTTTTTTGTTCATTATTTGCTTATTTCATCTTATTCTTTTTTTTTCTTCCTAGTATCTCAACTTTGTTTTATTGAGTTTGAATCATCTTAACTTTTATTTTCAAAGTTTATGGTGTATTTTTTATCCTTACTAATTTCTTTAATAAACTTGAAGTTTGTGTGCAAATAAATTTTAATATTTTTTACTTAGTAAAGCATAATACGAATGATAGAGGATCGGACATGAAAATTAGAAATATGGGGTAGACTCAATACCCACATTTAGACAAAAAAAATTAAAAATATGCATTGGTACATCCAACTTTGTTTTGTCTGACATATATTATTTGCTATCTTTTAATGTTTATGGATTAATTATGTTATTAATATTATATACACACACACACACGTGTGTGTGTTATCTACGTGTTTAACTTTCAAGTTAAGACTTATGCCTTACGCCTTGTCAAAAAAAATGCCTCAAAACCGCAACACACAATTTTGAACATTCGTCCCTCCGTCAAAGGGGACAGACGGGTTTACTACGATCAGGTTGATACTTTGTGGAACTAGTTGTATCGGATGCTACTTATGTTTTAGGTGTAACGTGGTGGCTCAATTTCAAGCTTGTGAGGATCACGAAAAGACACATCAATGTTTACTTGGGCTTGAGATGAACGGTTTGGACCTATTCGTTCTCCAATTCTTGGAACGGGGCCTCTACCACTATTGAAAAACGGCATACGCACTGGTGGCAACCACTAGAGTGAAGACTTTAGGGGTGATTGTGATCCTTTCCTTCTAGAAGTGGGGTTACACCAGGGGTCTCCCATTAGTCCCTACGAATTTGTTGTGGTGATGGATGTTCAATCGCATGTTATTCACAAAGTGTTTCCTTGGTACATGCTTTTTTTATGATATTGTATTTATCGACAAGACTCGTGAGGGATTCAATGACAAGTTAGAGGTGTGGCGTCAATCCCCTAGAATCTAAAGGCTTCAGATTGAATAGGACTAAGACTAAGTACTTGGAATCTGGTTTTAGTTATCGGGTAATAGAATCAGAGGTGGATGTTAAGATTGACTCACACATAGTGCATAAAAGAGATAAATTCTGATATCTTGGTTTGGTCATTCAGTCGGATGGAGAAATTGATGGGGATGTTGTTCACTATATTGGAGGCTTTAGAGCTGTGTGTGGGCAAAGTAGAAGTTGGCGTCAGGAGTTCTATGCGCTAAGAAGATTTCAGAAAGGATGAAAGGGAGGTTTTGTAGGTCCACAGTCAAATCGGCTATGCTTTATGGTGTTGAGTGTTGGCCGCTTAAGAAAGTCCACATCTGTCAAATGCATGCAGGAGAGATGTGGATGCTACACTAAATGTGTTGCACACAAGATTAAATAGAATCTTGAATGAGGTTATTAAGAGGCGGGTGGGAGTGGCACCGATGGAGGATAAGCTACGAGGGATTAGGTTGAGATGGTTTGGTTATGTGAAGAGGTGTGCACCTGAGGTCGCGAAGCAGATATGTGAGAGGCTTTCGGTAGTTGGTGGGTTTGAGGGAAGGGGTAGACCTAGGAAGAGTTAGAATGAGGTGGTTAGGCAGGACTTAAGACACCTTTAGATATGGACACTGGCAATATAGGACTAGGAAAGTTGGGTAGTCGTTTAGTCTAGGGTGCTAGTTTTGTTCGTGCCGTTGTGTGTTGTGTTGGCTTGATGTGTTTCTCCTTTCATATATTTGTGTACCTTATGCCTTATTGCTTCTTTCTCACTCTTAGTGTACTCTATCCTCTTGTCGTGTTATTTGCTCTTTGTGCTGCTTAAGATGCAGGTCTCTTTGAAACAGTCACTCTACTTTTAATCAGGGTAAGGTCTGTGTACACACACCATCCCCAAATCCTGCTTTTGTAGGATTCTGCTGAGTTGTTGGTGTTATACACACTGGTGGAATAGGAAGAGCAACACTGAATCATTATCCAAAGTCATCATGATTGCAAAGATGTCATTGTTTTTTTCTACATACCACGCCCCTAACGTGTACTCAAACAGGGGCATAGGTGGATTATTATTACCAAATAATTAGATATCTCACAAGACGTGGTTGCAATAAAGGGTGAGATGCAAGAGGAGGATACGACAGTGGTGGATGTGGTAACTACGATAACCGCACCAGAAAGTGTGTTGACGGCAATAACAATTCTGGGTAAACCAATGACAACAATGTCAGGGCCCACAGAGCTTCTGAGGAGACATCAGATGGGCTAATATCTACTCTAGATCAGGTTGCCCATCTTATTTCCATGCTTGAGACCTCACAGTCTTGCAAAGGTAAACCTACTTCTTCATATTCAAACTGTAAGTGGCTCGTTGATAATGGGGCCTCTCATCATACGTACAACTGTAACACAATGCAGAAGCGCTTATTTGTCTTTCGTTCTCATACTGCTAGATGTTTTGCTTGTTACGCATTTACAGTGCAATTTTATTTCTGTGACATGTCTTGATCGTGATAATGTTTGTCATATGACTTATAACAAAAACTCTTGTGTAATACAAGAACATGCCTCGTAGACGGAGATTGTATAGGGTGAAGTTTGTAATGGGATATAACTCTTCCGTCCTTTTCGTTTAGCCTTGGCAACCAACGCAAATTGAGATTTAATAGGGTGAAGTTTGCAATGGGATATACCTCTTCTCGCCTTTTAGTTTATCCTTGGCAACCAATGCATATCCTTTTGTCCTCACCGGTGTTTTGGTCGTCCTTCATCACAACTTTATCTTTTCTCAATTCCAAGAAAGTAGTTCTAGTATAAAAAAACTCTAAACTTTTGAAACCTGTTTTTAACCTAAACACACTTGTTCCATGCTTCTTATGGGGACCACCTTAACCTAAACTCTAAACTTTTGATTTAATTCATTGTGACTTATGGGGACGTTACACCCCCCTTCTTGGCTAGTTGTTTTCATTATTTTTTTTTATTGTGGATGGTCATTCTCTAGCAATTTGGGCCTACTTGATTTTCAACAAACCGGAAGTGGTAAGTTGTTTAAAACAATTTTTTGCCATGATCCCAATATAATTTAACAAGACAAATAAAATTTTGTATTAGGATAATGACAATTAGTTCTTAAATAACCCTCTGCGTTAATTTTATAATTTTCTTGGTGGGTCCATTCAAACTTTTTGTGTACGTATACCTCAGCAAAATGGTTAGGTCAAGCGTAACTAAATATTGACACATTCTTGATGCCGCACACTATTATGTTTCAAGCATCACTTTTTATTTAATTTTGGAATGAGTATCTCAAAACCGTTGTTTATCTAATTAATTGCACGCCCACCAAAGTTTCTGAGGGTAAGTCTCCTCTCAAAACTTTGCCTATTGGGAAAAATTATAGATTTTGATGATCATGTATTTAAATTGTAATAGGAACTTTAGGTCACCCCCAATGTTCAATGTAATTTTCTTTTTAAAAATATTGTTAAAACCGAGTTCTAGAGATTTCCAATAAAATTTGTGATACTTCATTTTGTGGTTGGACTTCCCACTTTGAAGACTTAACAAATTCAGTGATATGGAAATTGGAACTCTCGCTCAGAAATGTCAGAGACAAGAAAGGAATTCTCAAAGAAGACTGAATACTTTGGAATTCTCAAATCCAAAATTCTTAATGATACCTGGAAGTCTCGCTACAACCCGCTGAAGGCTAAGTCATCCGGATCGGAAGACTAGCGCAGATCACCTTCTCACCTGGAAGTCTAAGAATGACTTATCCGGAATTGTCAAACGAAGAACCAGATGTCTCAAGGAAAACTGGAACTCTCAGACACGGACAAGTGAGAAAAGACTTAGAAAAATTCTTCTAAGTCATGAATGAAGAAATTCTACCCGTTGGTAAGGAAAAATCAATTTCTTGATTTTCAACGGCTAGATTGAGGATAATTAAGTTGATTCAAGAACAAATTGTATGAAGACAAAGTCTGGACTCCCTAAATTGAAGATCTCGGCTAGAATTCTTGAACAAACACAAGAAGACAAAATGGGTACTCCACTCAATAAAGAGCTACAGTCCAGAATTCTTGAACAAAAGCTAAAGGACGGATTCTGTGAAAAAGGAATCTCTCTTCAAACAATTGGATGTGTCCAAACACGCACTCAAAGGAGAATCCTCAATCTCACTCTTCGTTCAAATTGAATCCAGCAAATGCAACGGATAGTCTATTTCCTTCAATGGATAGATTGTCCATCCAGTCTATAAATAGCTCCCATGGAAGACTGAAGAGATAACGAAGAACACAGCAAGCTATAATTAAAGTTATCTCATTCATAGTTAGCCAAAAAGCTTGATAAAGAGAGATCTCTAAATTCCTTATCCAGAAGCAAACTTCTCCTTCTTCCAAAAAGCTATAGTGTATAAACACTTGAAGGTTTCCTTGCCTCAAGTACCACACCACGTTGAAGGATACAACTTTTAATCAAACATCTTGATTATAACGGGGCACTCAACTTTTCTAAAAGTTGATTTTGCAAGTCCTATTGTTCGGACTTTGCAGTTGTTGAAGAAGTGTGACCTTCGAAGGAACAACAAAGCCAGCACGAGTGAAGTAGCAATATTGGCCTTGTGAAGATATACCATGCAAAAATTCACAAAGTGTAATTGTTGGTTCATTATTCAACAACTAACTACATAGTGGATTTTGAGGACGTAGAAGGATTACCCCACCTTCGAACCTCGTTAAAGTTTGTGTCTCTCTCTTATCTTTACTTATATTTGCACTTATATTAACTGTAAAAGCTAACCCATCCATACTGATTACTGCTCCAATAACCCACCAACTTCCGCACACAATCTAAGTTCACAA